CATCACATGAACGCAAGCATAAGCAGCCAGACCGAAAGCAAGGCGCAACAGAGGCACACCGCACTGTGGAGGGATTAAACTACTACAGGATGAGTGCTGTACACTTCACATGACAGCACTCAAATATTCCAGTACTAAAGTGTAACAGTGTATCTGGAACGGGAACAGTTGGCCAGTGAAGTAATTAATTAGGCTCACAGATACGTACTCAAAAGATAAAATATCCCTGCAAACAGAGTATGCTCCTCACAGCCAGCGCCCAACAAGGCTGATGCTCGCCCTGCTATTCTAACAGCAAGCTTGCAGTGCAAATTACATCAATGCCACAACACCTCTAAAGAACTAGTTTGTTACAGTCACAGTTTACAAAGGAAATTAATTTCCCTACCTTCCATGGTAGATATAAACTCCACTTCATCATCGGTGTTAGTGGTCAGAACATTATAGAAATTACGAAGCTTTTCATTCTTTGTGAAATTCTGTGATAAGGAGGGGGGAAAAAAAGATGTGTTATTTGCTCATTCATTTCTAGTTTTAACAGACCAAATGTGTTTGTTGTGTTCAGGAAATAAAAATGATCAAATACCTCCATGGAGAGGCTCCACATATGAAAGTTTGATGTCAATGGCTCAGTAGCAAATGCATGTAGTACATCATCAGGGAAATTCTTGAATAATCTACTGGTTTTTGCAGCTATTACAAAGAAGAAAAAAAAAAAGGATATTGTCCATTACCCAAGCTGCTAACAAATGGATTAATACTGAACAGGAGTTTTTAATAGAATAAAATTTTAATTTTTAATAAAATACTGCATTAAACCTTTTTTTCTGTAGTATAACTTCATGATTTTAGAATAGACTGCAAGGAAAACCACCGAAATAACAAGACGTTTCCAATATACTGCCACCACTGTCCTCCAGTCTTGACCCAGAGAGGACCCAACTTTCTACTAAAGTTCTCACTCAGATAGGCATCATTCTTTGCATTCATTTCAGTGACCTTTCCATTCACAATGAGTACGAATGATAGAATTTGTGAATGCTACACGGTCCGCAGATTTAAGGACATTAAATTAATTAAAAGATAAAATATTAACTGAGGCCACATTTTATCAGTGTTGCTGAATGGCACAGCTCTATCAAGAGAGACCTCTGATTTCAATACTGTGTAAGTGGACAGCAATGCGAATATTCATCAATAGGAAAGATGCAATTTGAAAAATTTAAAGTCACATGCTCTTTGAGTTTGATAAGTTTTGGACCCACAAATATTGTTCAACTCGGTAACAAAAAGGGACCTAACCCCACATTATTTTTGTAGGTCCAAATTAGCAAATGACAACTGTGGGTTTTGCTGACTGATGTTGGTTTCAAATGGCTTGTGCTCACACCTCTGCTTTAAAATGACAGAGTTCCATTGACTTCATAAAAAAAGTCATGGCAAATTAATAAGAAATAATTTAACAAACTAATTATCAGAAACCTCCCAACCATTCACCCCTGCATATTCATCACAAACAAGACACCAAACCTCTCAGCAAAACTCAGACATGAAATGAAACAGATTTTTCACCTGAGGTAAAGTTCAGAGGGAGCGCAAAACCATTTGTCTTGGTATTAACAAGTAAAACTTCGCCACTTGTGAGATACGTAAGCTCTTCGTGTCCAAGACATGTTCCCCATACTGGGAAATAATCTCCTTTATCGTTAGCCTTCAAAATAAAAAGCAACAACAAAAGGAAAAAGTAATGAAGACTTAAAGAAAGAAGACCAAAGAGAACTTCCTACTCTTTTCACTTTCTCTTGTGTAGGTGAGAAGTAAAACTACTACAGTAGTACAAATTGCTACCAGAGGAATTGTAAATAAAATAAATAAATAAAACTGAAATAAACACAGACTCCCTTAGTTTTTCTCCAAAAACATGAATGCTAGCGGATATACACATGTCTACTGAAGCAGTAAACTGAGCCTAATATTGATATTGATTGTTCTGTTTGACAAATAAGTAATGTGGAAAGCAGCCTAAAAAGAAACCACAAAACGGCAACATTTCTATAAAAAAGGCAGTCATAAGAAGGGACACAAACCAATCTGCCACCATTTTGAGAGAAAGTCTATTCATTACAACTCATACTTTTATATGTGCATTATGATCACACAGCAAGGGTCCTTTGCCATGTCTGTATGGCTGTGCTCACCCATTTGTATTAACAAAACATAAATCTTATTACTAGCATGACTATGGTCTTAAGTTATACTTATAGGCTTGTTTAACTAGCAGATTTGGACCTGTGTTCCAAAAAGATAAATTGTGAATTAAGGCAACATAAAAAAGTGACCATCATTTTCAGAAGAATAAAGATTGGCAGGTAAGTGCAAAAACAAAAGAAGAAAGCGAAAAGGAAGGCAAAAAGAGAACACAACTAGCTTCTTACCACTTAAGCAAGCACAGTGCATACATACAGTAGAAATTTGCTTTTTTGTATGGTTTATTCCTGATAGTAAGTGCATGTTAGAGACTGGAATGTTTCAGAACTCCTGTTTCTGTGAAATCTGAGTAGTCTTTCCTAACTAGTTTCTAAACGTTTTTAAGTTATGCACACACACCCCCCTCAAAGAGCTGCTGTTCAAAAGCCATTTTTGAGAAAGCTGAAATTACAGGCTTAGAATAAAAACGTTACCCTACTGCACTGCTGATAGTATGGTAATAAAAGTCTATATAACCACTTCTTCTCAGAGCAAAACATGGAAGATTTACAGAAAGAAGGCTAATGGTACTGCAGAGTCTTCATGACCACCTGTCATGCATGGCTAGACACACAGGACTAGCAACTCCACTGTCTTTCATGTAAGTGAGGAATAAAACCACTAAGGAAAAAAAAAAATCGACTACAGTTTAAGAACAATTACAACTGAACTATAAACATTTTGTGTCTCCACCCCTTTTTTTTTTTTTAATAAACATTAGTCTGGAGGCTAAGCATATATTAAACAACACCCAAGATGTCACATTAAAAACTAATTTAAAAGCTGGAAAACAGTATTTCATCTTGCCTAGCTAGTAAAATTCTATTGACTTGGATGGAAATTAGCACATCTTTCACATCTTCTATTCATCTTAAAGCAGAGCCAGACCAAGCCATTTCTCATTGTGAACATTTGAAAATGAAAAGGAGCCCTCACATGCTCCAAAAAAATCAACCCATATAATTCAGTCAATTCTGTACCTGCTAATATACTCTTGACTATTGTAGCTCACCTTACGTTAGTAACACTACTAACATTTTACAGCACTGATTAGGTCTCAAAAGATGAAAATCAAAACACACAATCATCACAAACAGTACAGAAAAAAATTCCAACTTATTAGTAAAGGTTACCTATGATAAACCAAAAATTACTTTCTGCCTTTCACTCACCTGAAGTACACATACCATCTAATAAACCTGCCTCTCCGATCATAAAATTATGACATAAGCAATTCAGTTAATCATTGTGAAATGTCAACAGAATTTCGTAATAGTACTGCAAACCACAAGAAACCCTTGCCCCGATACTGAATACCAAGACACAGACTGCACTTCACACAGTGAGCAGTTTCAAAGAGACAAATGAGATTAATTCTCTTACATAAAAGAGAGACAGTCTTTGCAAGATTCAGGGTTAAGGCGACAGACTAACAATCACCACGAATGAAGACAGAGATAGACAAATCATTCATGCCACGGGGATTGAAGAATAGGAAACTTGATTACTGAACTGCAGCAGTTGACCGGTCCTGTGAATGCCACTACCTGCACTTCCCTTGCCTGCTGTTGGGAAGTCGGCAGCAAGGGTAGAAGAGGAATTCCTCACTGTCAATGAGTGCTTCTACTGTGGTAACAGTTTAAGCACTACTCATAACTGGCTCTAGAATTGGGCAAAGTTTTCCGAAGTATGAGTTCTGTGATAATTTAGCTGAAAATAAAATAAAGTCAGTAAAGAGGAAAAAAGGAAGAAAGTTTACAATTTTATTCAACCTGAATACAGAAGATCCTTAACAAATCATAAGGCTTGTATATAAAGCTCAGTGAATCTCCATTCCTTTCCACAATGCAAATTTTACTTCAAAATGTGTTGATTACTATCTGAAAAAAGCCACCTCTTAGTATCGAAGAGAATTAAATCTTCAACAAGGATTCAGGGCCTTCCCGGTGTTCTTTGAAAAAAAAAAAAAACCACCAGCTTTTCCAGAAATTCTATCTTTTCTTAATAAAGCTAATGATCATATAAATATTAAAAAATAGTTAATATAACCTTTTGTGTGTTCTTCCCACCTTTTTTAGATTAAATTATGATAGTGTTTACTTTAAAAATCTGCTGTATTTACAGTTACCAATAGGTAAGATGCTAACGTAGATCCCTTATCTGCACCTCCAAAGGTATATTTAAATCTACTTATAGATAAGTGAGAATAAATGTGTTTCACTAGCTGGAACATATATATGAAGGGAAGCCTTAATGTTATATTATTGAAAATTGGTTTATTTGAGACTCTCATTTGAGACTTCATTCTGAGTCTAAATCCTAGTCATAAGACTTTTACAAATGATCACATTTATGTATATCTTTGTTCAACATTTCATGGCAAAGGATACTCTGGGCTTTTGGAAGAAATTATTGTTACTTTATTGCAAGTTCCCCATAGCCATAAAGCTCCAAGTATAATGAATAAATGATACTATTCTCACCCAAAGACCATGACACAACATATAACAGCAGAGGGTGTCAGAAGTCTGAATCTTAAGCTACGGAATGATTCTTTATGCAGAAGCCAGCAACGAGCTACTTATTATCGGGCTTACAGTTAACACACTGGATGCCAATGGGAAACTATGAAAACATGAGCCTCCCTGTCATTTTGATCTCTGAACAGCGACAATAACAAGAACAGACTGTTCCTTAGTAATTACCTCTAATGCCTTGTGGTAAAATATCTTAGCAACCCTGGAATATTCTGAAGTCTTAAGATCCACACCACCTCCTGGAAAAAGTACCCTGAAAGGCAACATTCAAGAATCTGATTAGCAACAGTGATCAAACTGAAACCTGGACAATGTACACAGAGAAAGGTCTGGCAGTGGTTTTAAGGGTAGGATCCAGGTTTAAATTAGTACATCTGCATTTCAGAAATCCATAGACAGGAATCAAAGATTCCCTTATGGACAGCAAGGATCTAGTCAGAAAACTCAATGAAGACTCAAATAGGTTTTCTAGAACAGACATCCACCTGGTCAGTAGGTTGAACAGCCCCCTAGGCTCCATTGGTGGTACTGATTAGCATTCCATTAAGTATGTGAATTTAGAGAGCTAGCTCACACACAGCTATGTTTAGGTGTCTTAGTCTTTAACCGAATCATACGTTAAATCTTAGTGTTCGTCTACTGAAGAATGGTTCCTATCACAACATAGTGACGTAAGGAAGAGGAGAGTAAACAGAAAATACACAAAACATACAGACTTCAGCTGGTAGGCAAAAGGGTTGCCTGCCATGACTCCATCAAATTCTGTACTGACTCCTAGCTGGCTCTCCCTACCACTTTAAAATCCTGGTCCCAATCTTAATTCATCCTGTTCAATTTCTGTAAAAAACAATTGCGGCCCTGGCACAGTGACCTTCTTATTGCAGACAACACAGATCAAAAAGTTCCTAGTAAAAAGGAGAAAAGTATGTTTGGCTGTAACCTTTGGTCACACAGGATCTAATATAGCTGAAGCAGACAAAGCAATCCCAGAGAGAATTTCAAAGAAATAGTGCACAATCTTCCCCCCTCCAAAAAAACCCACCAAAAACACCAACCAAAAAAAACCCCGCAGCAATGGCAATTCTCTGTGTAGCTCTCCTAACCCAAACACCGCAAAAGACAGTACAATCTATCGGAGATTTCACATATACATGTGATGACATGGAAAGCAATCATGTCCCATCAGGCACAGTAACACGAAATAAAGGAAGTCTCGTCTGGCTGTAACTGGAACAGTATCCGCAGAACTGACCGAACTGAATGTGTGAGCACTCCCTAACCCGCTGAAGTAGAACCCCAACTAGATTTATTCAAGCCACATCCATCAGTTGCTGATTTTTTACCAAAATGGCTGAAGGATTTCCTCTACATTTCTGTGCTCTGAAAATGGTTAACCTGTATCAGTGAGATACTAACAAGCAGCTAGAAACAACTAGTATCTCAAATGATCCCAAGCATTTGCAGAGCAAGTGCATGTTTAAACCCTTGTGACCAAGTTTATTTTAAGGTGAATGATCCACAGGATCATGCAAAAGCCACCAAGTGTTTGGTGGAAAAGTAGGGCAGTATTCACAAAAATATAAATCAGATCACTCTCCAGTGCCAATATATAAAATGAATATAGCTGAAAGTATTTTCAAAATAGGCCAGATTATAGATTTGTACAGAGATCCAGTTAGACAAATAAGGTGATCCTTACATGGCAGGGGCAGAAAATTCACTTCATGTGTTCCTTTTGTTCAATCCAAAAACTGTCAAATATTAGTTAGGAAAAACAATTGTCACTTCAGCTAATGCAAAGAGGAAGTAACCCATTAAGTAGTAATGATAATGGCTTAACATTGTTATAAGCAGATTGAAACGCAGCTATCTGTTTTCCAGTATCACTGATTAGAGCTGATGATGCTCACTGTGAGCTTCAAAGGCTGTCTCAGGATTATATTGCTGTATTAATAAAATTCTGTCTCTACTATACTAAATTTCATGATTTTAAGAAGGTGGTGTTCAATAAGAGCTAAGCTCTTACAGCATGAAAGATCAATAAATCTCTTTCTTATTCTAAGTTTCCACAGAATGAAAAGTCCTTCCCTTCAGAGATCTTATTTGTTATTTACACACAGCTATACTGTGGAAGCCATTAGCTGCCAGGGAAACAAGAGGAAATATAGACCATCCTTACCCACCTACATAGCACAAACTGCCAGTCACTGCAAAGACAGAAGAATAAGGGAACTGAATCTACTTGCCTAACACCCTCTTCTGCATTGAGCTAGGTGGTGAGGTAGAAAGAATGGGAGCCCTCATTGGTCTTCTGGCAACCAAAGAGAGGCCGGCAGCCATGAGAAAGGGATAAAATTATTCATTTTGTCTCCAACATGAGGAGCCACAGGGGAAAAAGTGTCACTGTCTTATACTTGCTTATACCACAAGACTGTAAAGACCCACATCTTAGTGTACAGGGCGTATTGTGGAGCGTAAGAGGGCAATACTCTCCCCAAACAGCCATAGGTCTAAATCTGCAAGTTCTACACCTGTTGATTAGCATTCTAGTATATGCATAAGCTTAACAAAAATGTTCATGGTTTAAAATGCCCACCTCATGACTACAAGTAGCCCAATCACATGCTATGGGCTCACGCACAATCAAGCCTGTGAAGTGTAGCATCAGCTGATTTAACTCTTCTAAAGGGCACTTTTAGCACAAGACAAACATAAAAGGTTTTGACTTTCCTGAGTCCACAATTAAAATGTGTTAAATTAGATCACATTATCCCACTTTTAAAATGTAGGAAGAACACATGGGTGGACAGTTGAAAAGTTAGAATGTTTGTCTAACAAAGACCTAAGCCACAGAATCACCACAGGCAAGATGGGCCATTCAAGTAGCAAGAGAGAAAGCACGCAAGAGGAAAGGGTAGAAGAGACAGGAAATCAGAAACCTTTATGACAGAGGAGATATGGAGAAGACTGGAAGAGGGAAGAAAGTGTAGGAAGAGGGATGAAACACCCAGCAAGTGTTATTAAATATCAAAATTAAGGTGATCACTCAAATGAGGAAGAGGAAAAATTTCACAAAGAGGAAGTGGGCTATTTCACTTGTAAAACTGTTAACCACTATAATGCCACTTCTGTCTGCCTGCAGACAAGCACAGGAGAATGCCAAGATGAGCCTTGGCACTGTTGCAAATTATTTGACATGTGCTCCTCAAGAAAGAAAAGGCAGCAGACAGCCATCGGATGAAATAGTGCTCTCTGTCTTAGAACATATTTACATGTCTGCAGTGCTCAGCACAACCTCTCAAGAGAGCAGAAAGACAGTGTTCTTGATAATATGGCAGAGCTCAAAACCAGAACTATCATGTCTTTCAACAGAAAAACAGTGCTCAAAACTTACCCATTAATAGAGTGGAATATTTTATCATATTCTTCATCTGAAAGATTTAATCTGAAACACCAAGAAAATAGTTACAGAACACATATGAAATATCCACATTTAGCCACAAAAATATCATCATTATTGAACAGAAACAGAAAATATGTAGGAAGCATGCTTTAAACAGAATAAAATAGTCTCAAATCAAACTAAGTATTTCACTCGAAACAGCTCAGTAAAGATCGAGAATCCACAAGACTGAAAGTAAAACCCTATCAGATACAGTTCAGGATTAGGTACTCCGAGACCCCTTTGCAGACACTCGTTAAATTTAACATTTACATGAATGGCATGGTTATTATTTCCTGCAGACCGGCAACTCCGGTTTCCAATTGACACCAAGAAGGGCAGAGTTGCAAACAGTGGGTCACACCCATTCTTCAGAAAAGATATAGTTGAGAGGTGAAAAGGTGAGAAAGACCTCAGCACCAGCAAAATATCAGCAAACCAGTATGACAGCTACACTCATGCAGAACTGATACACTGGGTATATTTGTAGCATCCAGCTTTGCTGCATCTAACTTAGTTGCCAGAATTCGAAGCCTCCATCCATCTATAAAGCTTCTGGTCAGCAACCATTCTGAAAGCCCCACCAGCTATGAGAGGAACACTGGCTTCTCATTCAGGCACTTAACTGGTGCCCTTACTGGACTGTGTAGATACATCCTAGTGTGATTTTCTGCAGTGGCATTAGTATCTTTTTTAACTTCTGACAACTATCATTTTAACATCCGACTTTAGTGCACTTACTATTTTATAGCTAAGTGTTGGCTATGAAGTATTATCAGTTAAGTTACTTACTCTTCTACTTTTTACCCAACAACCAAAATTCGACAACACATGGAGCTAGTGACCCCAGTTTGTGCAGAACTGGATTTTTGAGTTCCTCAAGAACTACTGATGGCCTTCCTCCACTACTTGAATTCTGGGACTATAGAATGTGACAAAAGACAGTATGCGTTTATGTATCTAAACAGCTATGTGTGTTTGGGGGGGACTATTAATTAGACTGAATATAGCTAACTTCAAAAACCACAGAGGCAAACTACGAAGGTTAATTTTGTGGGGCAAAAACCACAGAGGCAAACTATGAAGGGTCAAAAAATGTATTTTTCAAATAAAGGTCATAAGAAGAAATATTAAAAATTACATGTTCCAGACTGCTTTTATTCTGATTTCTAAACCAGCTTGCAAGTAGTGGAATCTTCAAACAGTCTCTGAGGGGTTCTAAACACCCTGAAAAGCAGCACAACTGTTTTCTGTGCCTCTAAGATGCCCCTTACATCAAACTATTATTACCCACTTGTAAGGATATAAAAATATACCTTATTGGCACAACACGGGCACCAGCAGATTCCAAGAACTTCACATATGAAGCTGCAATATAAGAACTTCCAAATTTGTGGAACTTCTCAAAGTGACACTCCTGTGACAATATCCCTGAAGGGTCCAAGAAATAAAGTTAGCGCTATACAAAGAGCAAATGCAATGCACTGAAAGAAAAATTAAACTCCCACTTCCTATATGCCAGGTTACAGTGTTACATTTACTGCCTGAAAGAATTACAAACACTGAGACAATGGGGCATCAATTACCATGCCTAGTCACAAGGTACCAAATAAACACACGTTATCTGACTAAGACTCAATTTCCTTGCTCTAACTATTTAGCAGTACAGCTTCTCTTAAATCACAGAATCATAGAACGGTTTAGGTTGGAAGGGACCTTGAAGATCATTGAGTTCCAACCCCCCTGCCATGGGCAGGGACATGTCCCACTGGACCAGGTTGCCCAAGGCCACGTCCAGCCTGGCCTTGAACACCTCCAGGGATGGGGCAGCCACAGCTTCCCTGGGCAACCTGTTCCAGTGCCTCACCACCCTCAGAGTGAAAAATTTCTTCCTAATATCGATTATAAATAAGTTATAGTTGAGATATATATATATATAGTTGGAAAATTTTAAATAAAGTATGTATAGCATGTAACACTATTTATAAAAGCTTTAACCAACCCGACGCTTCAGGAGCCCTTTGACTCCACACAGAAACCGTCAGGGTTTCACCTCGGTTGTAGGAGCCGTTCCCTCCCCCAGGAGAGCTTAGGCGGGGTGCGAGGCCGCCCTGGGCCGGCCGGTAATCCCCGGGGAGCGGCCGCCGGCACCTGAGGAACCGCCACCCCACCGCGCCCTACCGATGA